CAAAACACATGCGCACTGGTAACACCTGATTCAAGAAGAAGACCACCAGGATGTGGACATGGATCGCAGCCAATGTGATAATGAAGAACGATGCCATTTTATCCTGTTCGGTCACCGTCAACTCATGTGAGGTATAGCGGCAGTGTGATCATTTAGTCCAACATTCGAGGAAGAGTTCGAGAGGAGAGTACCGCAGATGACAAATCGCAGGCAATGGCGGAAAGTTGCTGTCCAGGCGTGCATTTCCAGAGAAGGCTAAACTCTGAAAGGCAAATGCAACGACGACAGGAGACATCCGCTCAGAATCTGAGGTGGTTCGCCAATTCAGCTCAGGTAGTAATGTCAGCGAGAGTGTAAAGAAGGATCTCTGAACAGACAGAGAAGAACTTAGAAACTGGAGCCAGAGGACAAAAAGAGTTTAACGGAGAAGCGAAGGGAAATGAAGAGAGTTGGGGCCGACATGGTGGAGTACCTACTTCTCTGCATGTTCATTAGGCGGAAGCTGACGGAGTACTTTCAAACTTTCCCGCTATGGAAATTAGAGAAAACAGTCAGGACACTTCCTTTGATCAGTCTAGATAGATTTAGCGGAAAAACAGTGCCTGTTTATGCCTTCTTTCAATCAAATCGTCTTCACCAGCAGCATCAGGAAAAATGCACACTCATGTTTCTTCAATTCTACTGTCCTGCCGGCAATGTTTTATTGCTATAGAACGTTTCACTCACTACTACCCAGGACCACTGGCTATCTGTCACAGAGAGAGCCTCTGGGAGAAAGATTTTGGAAATTTCACATGGCGGCCACATTCTCAAGCGGTGGCAAGATTGTGGACGAGATGAAGGACGTTTCCATCGAAAGAAGGTAGGAGTGGTTATAGAGGGTCGGTCGGTGGTTGGACTCACCGAAGGGAGATCATCCCGATTAACTGTCAGACAGACTGGGCTGCTTGATAGTGAACCAAATGGTGGGAAGATCATATCAGGAGCCGGGAAAAATTCACGAAAACGTGAACAATGATAGCCATCGATTACTGACCGGTCCAATTGATCGATGTGATTTTACATTGCTTTAATAATTGCATACTTAAATCTAGTTTGCGTATGAATCTTGTAAATGCAATTAAAAAAGCATGCCTGAAAGCATGTTATTGCTCTACTGCATACTCCTATGGGCGGGCAGGTTACATTCCGTAAAATTCGTGTCGCGTAATGATTTGCAGAACGTAACTGCTACTTAACCTAGAGTCTGTGTGTACTTATAATGGAGTTTCCTCTGGGAGGCATGTGTTTCATCTGATGAATGCAGCTGCAAGTTGTAGTTGCACACAGAAGCGTTTGTTTGTTGTATGAATGCTATAAGGTACATTCCATTTTTGGTTTTTGTTTTTGTACATGTGAAAGATTGTCCAATTCGAGAGGGAGGACAGGAGATTTCCAAATTTGCAAATTTTTTTTAGTTATGGCATATGCGTGTATTTCGTTTGATAGAACAAGACGGACAGAAAAATTTAAGACACCCTGCTAATTATTTTCGCTGCACATCACGAATGATTTGCATGATTGAATATTTAAGTGAGAAGGGGGCAAATAGTTAAATAGCAAAACACTTTGCATTCAAACACAAAACGGGCCATTTCACCAATCAAACGATTGACCAATACCAATGTTTCGGCCAGTGTCTGACGGGTTTTCAACAAGGCAAAAAGTGGAATGAGCTTCAGCAGTTCCTCTGATCATCTGAGGAATTAGTGAGTTCAGAGCCAGAAGGTCAAGGGAACTTCCTTTGCTCATTTACCTTACAGACATAGAAGGCCCGTGAGACCCGGGCCGAAATCTCGGCACTTGCCAATCAACCGATTGACCAAGTTGTTTGTGTTGTGTATATATTAGTGGTGTTTTCAATATGACCACCAACACGAATCAAATATTGTGTCATAAGACGAAGATGGACGTTCAACCGTAGACATAGAACTGATCATAATCCAAGCATTTAATTGCCAACCAGATGAGATGTGGATACGATATCTAATGAAGGAATATTAATCATGCGATCCAACCATGGCGCTGATCTGTTCAAAGGATAATAAAATAACAATTTATATCAGGGTTTCTTGTTCTTTTCGATGTTGTTATTACTGAAACTCAGCAGAAAAGTTTGTGTAACTCATCATAACGTAAAAGATCAGTTTATCCTACTTATCCTCGGTTTGGAGCGGCAACGTCTTGCTGACCAACTTTGCCCTCACTTGTAGAGCCGTAACGTCAGTAGCATTGTATTGCATCGATTCTGTAGCGCGAAGAACAACGGAAATGGTTTTATGTTCTGCTCCATAGAATACGTCTGCGAAGAGTTCTATTCTGAGTAGTACTCATTCGTGAAGAGAATGTCTTACTGTTCAAGAGCAGCCTTTAGCCATCACGGACCAGGTATTACAGACAAAAAATGTTCTACTTGACTTGAGATACCGTATGGCATCAACGTGCCGCAGGTATTCAAATCATATGGAGCCGGTTGAAAAGATCCCCTAAGAGTTTAGAAGCAAGAGAAGATGAAGCACTAATTCGGTGAAAAAACAGGATACAGGCAAGGAAACTTGCACCAATCAACAACCAACTGTCTTACTCGGAGGAAATCGAAAGAAATATGTCCCAAGACGTCGGTAGCAGTATATCACCTGCCAGAAAGCTTTTCTCTGCTCTGAGTTATTAAATATTTAGTCGCCTAAGTTATACTTCACGAACACGGTTGCAGAGCAATATAAGCATTATAAAAAACAGAAAATATTCTGACTTATGAAAACTAGATGTTGATGCGGATGTTGGGTTTAACCGTTCGCCCTTCCCAACAGAGAGTCAATAATTTTATGTTGCATTAAATAAACAGTGCTTTAGATGCGTTTCGTTACACTGAATTGAAGATGAAGTAATTTGCTACAGCAATGATTGAAATCAAACCTGATCCAGGATAGAGTTCTCGTTGATAGCACGCTGGTGCCAGTTTTATGCACGACATCGGTTCTTGCCATGAATCTGGATCTTGGGCCAGATGGTACCTGAGGTCGCCCAACGGTGCTTTTGCGAAAGGTACGCCGCTGAAGACTAGTACCTCTTTATCCGCCGCCATCACGCTTGTTCCTGTTACGGGACCATATGATGTTTGTACGAATGGAGAGGGCGGCGTTTCGTGAGAGCCGCTGCCTTCGCAACAGTGAGCAAGCGTCAAAGCTAGCAAGATTGCTGTTAGACAAAGGAGTACCGGCATCGGTTCGAGATTTCAGTGGTTGTGTATGTTTATTTTCTCTACAGAAACAAAACTGAACGCAGACCACGATGTTTAACATGGCAATATATACTGAATTTGTTGGCATCGTTCCAATTATTTTAGCATCCAGCCGTCGGAAGCCGTCTGTCTCCTGTTCGTCAACAAGTTGTGATAAGCCTGCCGGTGTCATCGGTATTTGGCGGAAGTACAAGATTGCTAAGGCCTTGACAACTAAGCCGGCGTAATCGTGACACAGATGCGTTAAGGTCGATTTAAAATTTACGAGCGGACAACGACATTTAGCATGACGTCTTGAAGACCGATATCAGAGTTGATCTGACAACAGGAGTTTTTTGGAACAAAGGTAAAGTCTGGGAGTCGCCTGTAGCCATCTATCATTTGCAATGTTTCGGTGGAAAACGCTGCGTGCCTACAGTACGACAAGCGGTAGGGCCAATGCTTAACGTTTA